GAGACCATCGTTTTGAAGGCCCTCGTGAAAGGTCAGACTTGGCCCACCTTGGACGCCTTCCCGTCATCATCTCTGATCCCAGGCCTCTGACCCTTTCTCGTCCCTTCCCCTCTTCAGTGTTTCTTTCTTTCTTTTTCTGGGGTGGGTGAGTGGGGACCAGGGAGGGAACCCAGGAGCACTTACTCACGGAGCCACATCCCCAGCCCTTTTTATATTTTATTTTGAGACGGGATCTCGCTGAGTTGCTCAGGGCCTCACTAAGTTGCTGAGGCTGGCTTTGAACTCGTGATCCTCCTGCGTCAGCCTCCTGAGCCGCTGGGATCACAGGCGTACACCACCGAGTGTTTCTTTGGGCCTGGCCTGGTGCTGTTTGGACGGGGCTTCCATTGTGTTTCAATGTCTGCTTCGCTGTGTTGGATCCACCCGTCCAGCCTTTCGTCTTCCCATCAATCCAGCCATGCGCACGTCGATCCTTTCATTTGTTCATCCACCCACCATTCCATTCATCCTCATTCCTCCTCTCTTCCTCCCATCCATCCATCCACCCATCCGTTTACCTGTTCATCCACATGTCCACTGACAGTTAGATCCACTCATTCTTCCATCCATCCGCCCAACTATTTTTCTGTCCCCCCATCCATCCACCACTCCTGCTCCAGCCCACAGTAAGCACTTTGCTAGGACATGCACCAGAGCATCTTTCTCTCAGTGAGAAACTCCTGCTGTCTCACCCGAGGTGGCAGCTCAGCCGGCTGAATGGTGAACACAGGACAGGAACGTAAGGGATGGGGCTCATTCAGTCATGCAACAGACATCATCCCAGGCGACAGAGATGACAGAGGTCCATTTTCTGCTCTCAAGGAGTCGGATCCGATCCTAGTAGGGTTGTCTGAGCACATTTTTTTTTTTTTTTTGGTGGTGCTGGGCATGGAAACCAGGGCTTCTCCCAACCAGGCAACTGCACTATCACAGAGCCACCGGCCCAGCCCTGCAATATCTTTAAGTAAAATTTAAGTCCAAAACAGGCAAGAATCGCTGTCGCAGGGGAGAAACCTCAAGGAGAGGTGGCCTTTAAACTGGGCCTTGAAGAGTTGGTAGAACGTGGACTTAGCAGCAGAGGTGGGATAGATAATTAGCAAGGAGGGTGCCCAGGGCTCTCTGGGGATGTGGCAGGGAGGGACATCTTCCATTCCAGAAGAATTTTATGGGGAAAATACTCTTTTACATAAAAACTCCCCAGAGGAGGGTCCCCAACCCAGTTGCATCCATGATATTTGTGATATAGCAGAAAGAGCAGTTGCTTTTGACTCTGGAATCAGTTTAAAACTGATTTTAAGTACCAGTTGGCCTTCCCCTGCTATGAGACCTTAATAAAGAGACTTCCCACCAGGTGCTGTGGTACACACCTGTAATCCCAGTGATTTGGGAGGCTGTGACAGGAGGATTGGAAGTTTGAGGTCAGCCTCAGCAACTTAGACTCTGTCTCAAAATAAAAAGAAAATAAAAAGGGCGCGGGATGTGGGTTGATGACAAAGTGCCCTTGGATTCAGTCCCCAGTATTGAGAGAGAGAGAGAGAGAGAGAGAGAGAGAGAGAGACTGACTTCCCCTTGCTGAGCCTCAGTTTCTCTCTCTGAAAAAGGCAGACAATATCTTGTAGGCATATCTTGAGCCCCAGGGCAACATATGAGTAGTGCCAGGTCCCCTGTGGGGACTCACAAATGGGGACTCTTAATACGGTTCTGTTTCCTTCGAGAACAAATCCTTCAATGTGGGATGACAGTGAACAAATCGGATTCACTGTTCAGAAGTGAACTCAGCATCTCCTGGGAGAAAACACAGCTGCTCAGGAAGATGAGGGTGGAGGGGGCAGGGCTGAGTCTGTGGCCAGCAGAGGTAGAAGTGATCGCTGTCCCCTGGGGAAACTGCCTGCGGGGATAGCAGAGTTGAATGAATGGGGTTTCAGTGAGACAGGAGGGGGAAGGGAACCAGCGCTCCTTTTAGTCCTGGAAGGTCCAGGAGCAGCGTGAGAGCAGTTGGCATCCACTCTTGCCTTTATCCTCACCCCTGCCTGCAAGGAGAGTGCCCCCAATCTTGCAGATGAAGGGAATGAGGCTCAGAGAGAGACGTGACTTGCCCCAGGTCATCCACTAATGACAGTGGCCAGGGTCTGTATGCTTCAAGACTCAGGTCTAGCTGGGGCCACCCTGGGGAGAGGGCAGAGGCTCAGCTGGATGGAATGTGGCAGGAAAAGAGTGTTGGGAGCAAGGCCAGTGAGGTGGCCGGGCCCCACCACCTGGGACCTCAAATGCCAGGCTGAGGGGCTGGGACTTTGTCCTGAGAGGCCATCAGGAACTAGAGTCAGATCTGTGTGCAGAAGGACCCTCTCCAGTGTGGAGAGGAGAGACACAACCGTGATCCAGGGAGGAGGCTGCGGTGGGGCCAGGGGAGGCAGCCAGGACCATGGAGGCCCAGGACACAGAGCCCCGGTTGGAGACGGTCCTGGGGGGCGGATGGGCTGTGGGATACAGGGGGCGGAAGGGACAGGCACAGGTCCTGGGGTCGGCCTCACTGCCTAGATGGGCCTGCCGGAACATGGGCTTCAGGATAGACGCTGAGTTCCGTAAGATGTCGTGACACGCACAAAGGGACCAGGGAGGTTCTTGTGACCAATGACACCAGGTTCAGGTGGAATGTAAAGCAGCATCTTGTAAAACATCTTATTTTCTTCTCTTGAAATTGAGGAAACTCGAGTCAGTCTATGTTCAGATTCCTTTTCCAGCTTCATTTTCTGCCCTTTCACAAGATACTGCACGTTTCAGAAATGAGAAGCCTCCCATGTGGAGTCAGACCCCGAGTCCTGCACCCAGGCCATCGCTCACGCAGCTCCTGCGGCCTGGGGTGTCCTCTCCCCGATAGAAGCACACCTCCAGATCCTAGCGGCCTCCCAAGTCCTCCTCAGTGCCCAGCTTCTGGGGCTCTCAGGCCACTCCGGGTCCTGGTGGGTAGCCACCTGTGGGCCCTAGGTATTTCCTGTGCCATTGCCAGGGGCCCAGGCATGCTGGGAAGGCTGTGAGTCCTGCCACCTCCCCAGTAGATGATCTGATTTCTCTCTGTGGCTCCCATTTGCCTGATTGATTACCTTCCTTAACAAATGTTAAATAAATAAGGGTTTTTTTCTTTCTTCTTCCTGATGGTTCTGAACCTGTGCTCTGTGCTAAGGCCCTGGTCCCAAGGGCCTTACCTGCTAACAGCCTGGCGGCTTAAGGCCCCAGCCAACCCACCCCTCCCCTGACTTCTGTCCCCTCTCCTTGTCGTCTTTCCAGCCTGTGGGACCTCTGAGGCCTCAGCTTACCTTGACGAGCTGCGTCTGGCTGTGGCTTGGAATCGGGTGGACATTGCCCAGAGTGAACTCTTCCGGGGGGACATCCAGTGGCGGGTGAGGGGTCAGGGCTGGGGATTCTGGCAAAAGAGGTGCACTGTTTCCCTCCCCGACTTCTTGGCCACCTGGTCCTGCCTGCCATTCACTGACCATCCTCTGGGGGTGTTCCTCTGTTCCCATCCATCGTCACTCACTGCACCGTATCCCCATCTCTGGCCCTTAACCTCTGAGCTCCCTTGACCCATCTCTTCCCCTCTTCGCCCCGCCCCACAGTCCTTCCACCTGGAGGCGTCCCTCATGGACGCCCTGCTGAATGACCGGCCCGAGTTTGTGCGCTTGCTCATCTCCCACGGCCTCAGCCTGGGCCACTTCCTGACCCCGACACGCCTGGCGCAGCTGTACAGCGCAGCGCCCCCCCACTCCCTCATCCGCAGTCTCCTGGACCAGGCGTCCCACTGGTCGGGCACCAAAGGCCAGTCTCTAAAAGGGGGTTCTGCGGAGCTCCGGCTGCCCAATGTAGGCCACGTGCTGAGGACACTGCTGGGAGAGACGTGCGCCCCGAGGTACCCCTCCACTGACGTCCGGGACCCTCACACCGGCCAGGGCTGCGGGGAGAGTGTAAGGACCCGGAGAGGCTCGGGGCAAAAGGAGGGTGGGGCTGCTTCTGGGAGGGGTGTGGCCTGAGCAAGGGGGTGTGGCCTGAGCAAGGGGGTGCGGCCAACCCCAGGGGGCGGGGCCGAGGGGGACTTGGTAGTGGTTCGCGTAGGCCAGTCTTGGCAGGCCTCCCTCTGATTTGATTGCAGGCTTGTCTGCTCTCGGACTGGGCCACCTTGAAACCTTCGATGGACGCTGCCTTTGGGCAGGCTCCCTGGAGTGACCTGCTCCTCTGGGCGCTGCTGCTGAACAGAGCCCAGATGGCCATGTACTTCTGGGAGAAGGTGAGTGCCAACTCTCTTCTGGGATTCTACCCTCCTACATTTCTGTCCTTTATGCCTTGGGGACACCAAGGACCCCTCTAGGATGCCCTGACCTCTGATATCACCCGACTCACATTCCGTGCTCTGCCTCAGCTACACGACTCCAACGACTTTGTCTTCTTCTTCTTTTTTTTTTTTTTAATATTTTTCTTAGTTTTAGGTGGGCACAATATCTTTATTTTATTTTTATGTGGTGCTGAGAATCGAACCCAGTGCCTCAGGCATGCCAGGCGAGTGCGCTACGCCTTGAACCACATCCCCAGCCCTGTCTTTTTTTTTCTCATGAACTTTTCATAACTTTTTTCTCCATGAACAACATGTATTGGGAATTTTCCATGTTCACACATGTAACTCAACCTATTCTTTCCAAACCGTTGCCTATGGAAGACTAGGCATGGTCCTGTGGGGCAGGGAGTCATTTAGGCAGAGTTCCGCCTGTGGAGTAGCTGTGTCATTGTAGCTGCCAGTGAAAGGGGACAACTAGAGAGCCCGGGTTGGAGACGGTCCTGGGGGGCGGATGG